AGAAAGAGAGAGAGAAGTCGCGAGAAAGAGGGAGTGAGAACTCGCGAGAAAGAGGGAGTGAGAAAGAAAGAAGATGCGAGAAAGAGAGAGAGAGAAGTCGTGAGAAAGAGAGACATCTCGCGAGAAAGAGAGAGAGAGAGAAGTTGCAAGAAAGGGAGAGAGAAGTCACGAGAAAGAGAGGGAGAAGTCACAACTGAGTGAGAGAGAGAGAGAGAAGTCACAAACAAGAAAGACAGAGTATGAGCAAGCGAGAAAATGAGTGAGAAAACATGCGAGCAAGCAAGGGAAGGAGAGAGTGAGAGGAACAGAGTGAGAGAGCAAGGGAAGGAGGGAATGAGAGAGCAAGGGAAGGAGTGAGTGAGAGGAAGAGACAGAGAGACGAGAGGGAGACACCAAGGCAAGGAGTGAATGAGAGGAAAAGAGAGAGAGAGCAAGGGAAGGAGAGAGTGAGAAAAAGAGAGAGAACGGGACAGAGAGTGAGAGGAAGAGCGAGTGAGCAAGGGAAGGAGAGAGTGAGAAAAGGAGAGAGAGAGTGAGTAAGCACCGGACAGAAAGCTGTGAAGCTATGGTGAAATGTCAAAACTGTCAAAAAACTTGGACTTGAAAGCACCCCCACCCCCTGTGGCTCGGCGAACATGAGAAGACAAACACCCCGGGGGTGGGGCAGGGAGTCCTTACCCTCCACGTGACTCCAGACCACACACAGCTCACTCTCCACAGCCCCAATTCCCCCCGTACTCCCCTGGAGAAGGGGCAATCTCAGGTCTAGGGGACAATGTGGAGACTCTCTTTGATTCCTTGTTTCTGATTTTTTTTTCTGTTCCTTATACGGACGAGAGGGGAGTGCAGCGGTGGAGGTCAATATGTCTAGCTCTCCCGGATAGCTTACAATCCCCAGCGATTCCCCCCCGGGGTGGGGGGGCTACGGGAAGGAAGGGAGCAGCGCAATTATCGAGGGTGGGGAAGGCACTGACTCAGAGCAGGAATGTCAGTCTCTCAATGCTTCGCTCGCCACCTCGTCAAGGCGAGTGCGGGAGGAGACACAAAGGGAGAGTGACTGAGACGGGGGGGGGGTGACAGAGAGAGAGAGAGAGAGGAGACACACAGAGACAGTGACTGAGACAGAGGGAGGGGTGACAGAGAGAGAGAAGGAGACATACAGAGAGAGAGACATACAGAGACAGAGAGGGGGGAGGGGGAGAGAGGGAGTGAGAGAAGAGACATACAGAGAGAGAGACATAGAGAGAGAGTGACTGAGATGGGGGGGGAAAGAGAGAGAGAGAGAGAGAGACAGAGAGCCATACAGAGAGAGAGAGGGACAGAGAGAGACATACAGAGAAAGAGAAACAGAGAGACACATGCAGAGAGAGACAGAGACATACAGAGAGAGAGAGACACAGAGACAGAGATAAAGAGACATATGGAGGGAGAGAGAGCGAGAGACAGACAGTCGGGAGAGAGAGGTAGGGAGAGAAAGAGGTCAGAAGTGAGAAAGAGAGAGAGACAAACAGAAAGAGACAGAGGGAGAGAGAAAGGGAGAGAGAGAAGTCGTAAACAAGAATGAGAGACAGAGACTACGAAAGAGAGAAAGAGACAGAGACAAAGAAAGAGAGAGAGACAGAGAGAGTGTGAGATGCCAAGGAACCTTGTTCTAAGCTGTGGACCTCACTATGATCGTACAGACACCCTCCCCAGCCCCCACCCCAACCCTTTCCCTCCTGAAATTCTGAAGGTGGCCAGGGCAAGGAAGTAAAATCAAAAACGATTGGAAAAACTCAGCGGGTCGGCCATGGAGTCGGCAAGAGAGAGAACAGGGTCAACATTTTGGGTCCAGTGTCTCTCATACAGAACGGCATAGCACAGGGTCAGGCCCTTCGGCCCACCGAGCTTGTGCTGACCATGATGCCAGTCCAAACGAATCCCACCTCGCTATATACGGACCATATCCCTCTACACCCCACCTATTCATATGTCTGTCTAAATGCCTCTTAATCATTGCTATCATATCTGCTTCTATCACCTCCTCTGGCAGCACGTTCCAAGCACCTACCACTATCTGTGTAAAAAGCTTACCCGTCACATCCCCCTTAAACTTTTCACCTCTCAACCTTAAACCCATGCCTCTTGGTATTTACATTTTCACCCTACCCATGCATCTCCCCAGATTTCATAGACTTCTATCAGGTCCCGCCACCCCCCAACCTCAGCTTTCGATGTTCCAGCTAAAACAATCCAAGGTTGTCCAACCTCTCCCTTTAGTTAATACCATCCAATCCAGGAAACATCCTGGTAAACCTCTTCTGCACCATCTCCAAAGCCCCCACATCCTTCCTGTAATGTGGCGACCAGAACTGCACACAATATGCCAATAGTCTCACACAGCGCCCGCTCCCTCAGCACTGATGCTCCGACAGTGCCTGCTCCCTTGGCGCCGACCCTCCGACAGCACCCACCCCCTCAGCGCCGACCCTCCGACAGCGCCCGCTCCCGTGGCGCCGACCCTCCGACAGCGCCCGCTCCCTCGGCGCCGACCCTCCGACAGCACCCACGCCCTCAGCGCCAACCGTCCGACAGCGCCCGCTCCTGCGGCGCCGATCCTCCGACAGCGCCCGCTCCCTCGGCGCCGATCCTCCGACAGCGCCCGCTCCCTCGGCGCCGACACTCCGACAGCACCCGCACCCTCAGCGCTGACCCTCCGACACTGCTGCACTCTCTCAGTAGTGACCCCCTGACAGTGCATGTGTTAAAGTCTCTTCCCCAAGTTCAGTAACTCACGATTGAGTAAAATGAAGTGAACTCCCTAGACCCTACAGCGGTGATCCACAATTCCTCGAGGACATGCCTCTGGTGTCCATCATCATCCAATCACTTCCTGGTTGAAAGCCCCTAGACCCTGAACCCTGCAGGTTCCACCTGTGTGTGTTTCTCACCACTCCCTCTCTCTCTCTCCCTCACCCTGTTTCTCTCCCTCTTCCACTCTCTCCCCCTCTCTCTTCCTGTCTCTCTCTCTCCCCCTCAGTTTTTCTCCCTCACTCTCCCTGCTTCACTCTCTCTCTCTCCCTCTCTATCTCTCCGTCTCACTCTCCCTCCCTCTCACCTTCTCCCTCCCTCTCCCTCTCACCTTCTCTCTCCCTTTCCCTATCTCTCTCTCACCTTCTCCCTCCCTCCCTCCCTCTCACCTTCTCCCTCCCTCCCTCTCTCCCTC